TAAAAAAAACTCTAACTTAAATTGAATAAGGAAAAGCAAAGTTTCCAGTATTATTAATTTAAAAAAACTAAATTTTTTTAAAACAGGAAAATAGGATGATCAAGCTTCTGTTTATACCTACATCTATCATCTTTCTATCTACATTTATGTCCATGTATTTTTTTTTTGATTCTAGGATAGCTATGGCTTTTTCTTTTCTTTCTCCACATCTCTACCAGTATCTATTAGATAATTTATTTATTAAGTACTTTATTGAAATGAATAGACTTTTTTATGAGCAGTTGTACGCTTATAGCAAAATCAAGCAGAAAGTAGACTTCTCGCATCCTCACTCCTCCTAACACGAACACTGTGAGTATTTTGGATTATGGCCATTCTAACAGGTGTGCGGTGGGACCTCGTTGCTTTAATTTGCAATTCCCTGATGACATCTGATGCTGACCATCTTTTCACAGGCTTATTTTGCTGTCTGTATAATGTCTTTTGTGAGGTGTCAGTTCAGATCATTTGCCTATTTTTGAATTGGGCTGTTTCCTTGTTGAGATCTGTGATACACAGGCCGTTAGTGACAGGGTGGTAAGGTGTGTGTTGAGGGGAACCAGCTGCTAGTCCTATGATTAGGTCTGTCTTTCGGGGGCCAGGCTGCCCCTGGACCATTTCTTCACAGGTGCTTTTTAATCTCCTTTCTCCATCTTTCCTTAGGTGTGGGGGCTGGAGTCAGGTCCTTTCTACTTCTCCAGGTCGGTTAGGCTCCGGTAAAATAGTTCTTCTTGAAGAAAGGCCCCTTTTAAGAGGAACAGATTGCTCTGGGCATTTTTCAAAATGTCCTCTTTCCATTACTCCTGCTGGCAGTGAAAGGGGATTTTTCTCTGATCTCTGCTGTGAGAACCTGGTAGGATTCCTACAAGTAAAACCCACAAAAGCATGGGTCCCTGAAAGACGGGGCCTCCGTGAAATTTTCAACTCTCAGATTTGTCCGCGATGAGCTTCCAGAAGTCTGTCAGTTACAGCTCAGATTTCCCCACCCCAGGACTGGCTCCCACAAAGGCTTCTGCTCCTGGGTTTCTGCCCATGTTAAGTTGTGCCACTTGTCTCTCCAATTTTAGAGGCTAGACCAGAAACTGAACATACCTGAAATATTTGTTTTTAGTGTTCACACTTAGAAACTCAGCCTGGTCTTGCACTGGCCTTGTTCGGGGTTTCCTGCCCAGATTTGCTGTTTTCATTCTCTCACAAAGCCTTTTAAATCATGTAATTTTCTTGCTAGCAATAATTATTTTATTTCTTAAATTACTATAAAGTAGCAATTTCATAAAGAAGATTCTAAGTGGGGAGCGTACAGCTCAGTGGTAGAGTGCGTGCTTACCTGCACGAGGTCCTGGGTTCAAGTCCCAGTACCTCTATTAAAAAAATGTTTTTAATAAATAAATAAACTAATTACTTCCCCTAAGATTCTATTGGCATGTATTTTTGTCAATCAGAATCATTTAAATGTTTTAATAATAGCTAAGTGTCAGGGTATCTCAAGAGGAAACACTTTCTCTGACAGAGTTTTAAAATTTTCAGATTTTTATTCAATGTATCTATGCTGTAAATCCATCAGGGACATAGAAACTCTCATACTACACAGAAAACCACTAACTAGCCTAAATTAATGAATGCATACGTTTACAATAAAACCCTAATCACCATGTAGTGAAAAATGAGCATGTAAAAATGTATTTGTTTCCTGTTGAGTTATCATTGTCTTTATTTCTATAATTGATCACTTACATTGCTGTGGCTGTTAATCAAATTATATTTTAAAATATATACGTTATTTGAATTAGTGGAAACTGAACTGCATAGATGATGACATAATTGAATGTCTAGTTTGCTTTTTTTTTAATAAAAACTCTTTAAGTTTCAGCAATCATATTTTTTGTTTAATTGTAGTCTCTATGTCAGCACTCTCTCTTTAAACGGCGAGTTTTTCTCAGCTGGAATTTCACACCTCTACACTCATTATATTCACCAGTGAGGATGATAAATACTATACAGAGCTCGGGGTTATTCCCTCACCTGGTTTGTCTTTCCATTTGTAATCAAAAAGAAATAATGATAAGTTTACCTAAAATGTACTAAGTAAAAAACCCTACTAATTAGTTGATCGTGAATAAGGCAAAAAAAAAATAGTTCTTTCTCTGTCCCTTGCCCCCTATTTATGTCAGTAATAATCCACTTTTAAACATTTGATGAGGAGAAAAGCACCTTTTATATAAATGGCTTCTTTACAAAGCATTTTTCTTAGAATGCTTGCAAAATGTCATGTGTGTATTTAATCACTGCCGTTTTTAAAAGTTGCTATACGTAAGGCTAGAGCATACGACACTCCAGAGGTACTTCAAATGGATTTCCAAGTTAGTTCTAAATATTTAAAACAGATATTTTAAACGTTGATGATACAATCCTTCAACGTCTGCCTCTCATTAATTGTCATGTGGAATAGATTAGCCAAAAGCTGAATATCTGGAACTACTAAAATTGCAGAAATGTAAACACAATATCGTAAGAGGAAATCGCCTGCCTTCTCATAAAAATGTCCTTGAGAATCAATGGAATTGCCCTCAGTTGAAAACAAATCGTCCTAGCATTAATGCGGATCTACGTTTTTGCAATTTAATGAGTAGCCAATAGCTATGACTTTATTATTGGTAAAAAGTTGGGCTACCCTTTTGTGTTTGTGTGGGTATGTCTGTGTAAGATCAACACCTATGAGACATATAACCAGTGAAGAAACTCAGAGATGTTGAAGATGTAGTTTGTATCGTAGAGTTTTGCCGTGGAGGGCAGAACTGAACTATTAATCCTGAATATAACCGTCGTGTGCAAATCGCTTCAGTCTGTGGGAATTCAAAGGGCTCACTTTAAAAGAAAACTTGATTGTTGGAGCAAACAAATAGGTCTTTATATTGAGACAGACTTAACCGAAGGCATTCAGCCCTGCTAACCTTAAGTCATGTGGGTCAGCACTGTATAAATTGCAGGCCAAATCTCCCCAGGAGCTATGCTTTGGCCTTCCAGAAAAACAAAACAAAATTACTCCATCCACCTTGCTGATGGCACTTTGTGTCAGCCTGACCCGTACATGCCAGGCACTCAATGGTCCAGAAAGGTGACTCCAAAGTCCCCTTTGCTCCTCTGTTACGATGCCAATTACCTGGTTTCTCTAGTCCTGCTGTGTTTATGTCTGAACTGCTCCTGTGCCCATCTCATCTTGGATTCTTTGATAATAAAAGCAATCAGAATGGATGTCTTCCTTAATGCTCACTATACACCAGTCTCCTAATTGTTTTATATATGTTAGCTGTTTTAGTCTTCATGGCAACCCTATGAGGCAGGTACTGCTATTTTCACTCTTTTGAGGGTGAGCAGTTCTCTGAGCTAGATTATATTATTATCCCCATTATACAAATGTAGGTCCTATTAGTGTCTCCATTTTCCAGATGAGCAACCTTGTTGGGCTGCGCTCTGCAGTCCTGCAATCCTTGTAAGAGCCCAGCTGCAAGACCAAAGAAAGAGCCCAAAACAGTGACAGAGACAGCAATGGTTACTTGGATAGGGGACCTTACAAGTCTGAAGCAAAAGGTCCTAGAGTGACAGCCCACCATGTGCAGCAGACTGCAGGCAGGACACGGCAGCAACATTTGCCACCTGGAGGAAAAAGAGGCCACCATTTATAGAGGGAGCCATTGTCAGGTTGGCTGATCAGTTACCAGGGAAACCAGTGGCTGGGGCAGGGGGGAAAACACACAGGCGGTTACCGATTAAGCCCTATGATTAAGAGGATCGGATAGTTGCATGAGTCAAACAGGGCCTGATCAAGCAGGAGACAGATGTACAGAGAGCAAGAGAGCCGCCATCTTGAGTGGCCAGACCGTACAGCATTTTGTACAGAGGAGTTAACATTCACAAACTCACACAGGCTGGTAAGTGATGAAAGTAGGGCTTGAACCCAGCCATGCTGTTCCCTGAGTCCCTGCTCTTAACATCTTCACTGTGTAGCCTTCATCTTGCTGCTGGCTCTTGGAAGTTGTTGATTCATGATCTCCATGGGTTTGAAGTTCAGCTTCTCTAATGGACTTAGCGTTCTTTTCCTATTTGAAATCCAATAAAAACCATCCTTTTGAAAAACACCTGTCTGTTTCCACTTCGTTGATGCAGTTGGTTGTCAGTGTGTATGAATGTGTGTGTTTGTGTGTTCCTGTGTATGTGTACACGCACACGCACGCTGTGCACATGAGTGAGGTTGGAGGGGGTGTGTGATCGCGGAAAGCTACCTCTCAACAAACACCAAGAAGCCTAATAAACAGCAGTCTAAGAGTGCCACGGGGTGTCCAAGCTTTCCCAGTCCAGACTCAGGCACAACAAGCCCTTAAATGTCGCCTTGATGATTTTTCCTCTCAAAGCAAATGAAGTTGCTGATTTCACCACACACTTGCACGGACCACCTGATGTATCCACAGTCGAGGATTAAACACAAACTCTGGGGGAAAGTTCTGTCCCAGTGGGAAAATTATTTAAGGCTCTATGAGCAGTTAGATAAAATGTGTAGAAAGACAATTTGGATACTGTTATCCAACTTCAAAATTTGCATTGTTTTATATGGTTTCAATTTTCAGTTTTACTCGCAGTTCATCACCCAGAAAGAGACCTGCACATTCAAACCTTGATAAGCACAATAGCAAAAACAAAACACTTGGAAAACCTGTACCCACAAGCTATAGCATACTGTCTCTGTCATACTGATTTCTTTCCTTCTGCTTGGGTGAAAATTCAGTAAAAGAAGCCAGATGATGATGTTTTAGATATCCTAAAATAATTAAAATGTGATGGCTTGCTGGCATTTACAAAGTGTTTTAAAGACGATTCAAAGCTGAAGTACGTATGTACAGAGAAGTATGGCTTAGTATTTGAATAAATAGTTCCATTATGATTAACTTATATCAGACACTTAGTATCTTCTGGGTACTAACTCCTTTATATTTCTTAACTGATGTAATTTGTACAGCAAGCCTGTGAGAAAGATTTGATTGGCCCCATGTTAAAGAAGAGACATCACGGGCACCGTGCTCTGCCAGGAGGTCAGAGAGTCAGGATTCAAACTCGAGCATGACAGCTCAGAGTCCATGCTCTTAATACTGTAGCTCTAGTTTCCTCTTCAGAAAACTTCAAACACTGATGCTGGAGGACAGACTTATTCCCCATTCTGTGTTTCCATGAAGGGGAGGAACTATGAAAGTTTGGGGGAAGAACATCCAGTTTATCTGTGCCTTCACGCCCCTTGTCTGGGGCTGGAGGAATAACTTCCAGACCACAGGAAAGCATTATTGTAGAATTGTAGCTAACTCCAAGCCAGCCTGGGCTCTCTTTTCTTGTCCTGTTGTTTTTAGTTAATAGTTACAGGGTCCTTAAGTTTTTATCGGGTAAATGTCCACTGTATATTTCCTAAGGTCTGGAATCATCTCAAACTCTCTGAATGGCTGCCTTGAAGCTTATGTCTTGTAATGAGGGACAAAGAGCTTGGATGGAGAATAAACCACAGCACTCCACTAACTTCCCAAGACTTTCCCTAAAAAAAAAAAAAGACAAAAACAAAAACAAAAAAACAACTCTTTTGACCATCACAATCATGGTCATCTTAAATATCTGATATGGGTGATACCCCGTGCATTTGATATTCTCACTGTTTCTCAGCCATCTGCTTTGAATGACTTACAAGGATGCCTGTCTTATCACTTCCTTTTTGTTGATGAAAACATCCCAGTTAATATCCAGTTGCATGAGCTTGTTCTACTCGAGGGCAGAAGAATATAAGAAGAGAAAGAAGGAATAGTTTTTCCTTAGGAGCATCCACGGGCAATATAGGCAAATATGATTTATTTTTTTCCTTATCCCAGTGGAGGAGAGGATAGATGTGAAGAAAGAAGATGGTAGCTTCCTTAGCACTCGGGGCTGAACGTCCCTCCTAGGGAGGAAGATGCAGAGAGAAAAGGGCACCAAGCAGCCTGATGGACTATGGACTGGAGGTGTCCTGTCTCATAGCCATTGCTCTGCTTTCTTGCTAATAAGTCTGATTCTGATGGTGGCAGCAATAAGCTCAGTTTAGGAAAAAAAAATTGTAACTGCATTTCTTTGATTTATTTGCATACAGGGTGGGCAGTGAACTCTAAGTGGTACTTGTTGACCAGGGTATTGGAGAAAATCTCTTGAGAGAGGAGCCCACTTAGCTATTGGCGCTTCACTCTGCCTTTCTTCCAGCCTGGACGAGTCCTAACTTGTCACGAGCTGGGGCCACCACCTTGCAACAATGATTTAACAACCAAAAGGATCACAGAGACCTCAGAGATGTTCCTGAGCCGTGAGCACTTACTTCTAGACTTCATGCTACAGGAGAAAACTGTAAACTCTCTCATTTGCTTAAGTCCGTGTTTTTAGATCTCTATTACAGCCAGATTTGATCCTTAAATTATATATTAGCCATGGGATTTTTGGGCAGGTTCAGTAATCCTTCAGAAGACCTCAGTTTCCTTATTTGTAGAGATCTTACCAGTACCATCTTAGAAATATCTTAGCAATTAAAAGGTATCATGCATAGAGAATACTTAGTACAGCTCCTTGTGTGGTAAGTGGTGGATAAATGTAAGTTGTCATTACTTATCTTCATATAAATATGAACATTTCTTAAATCAAATCTAGACTCTAAATCAGGAAAATATAGGCTGTGACTAAAAGAAGAAATCCCTGCAGCTACCTTAGACTTTCCTTTAATAAACTGATTTCTAAAATATGGAAGAAATGAAGATGTGTCCAGGTAATAAACGTTGAAATCAGCCAAATCCATGTTAGATAATTCTGTACAACAGGAGTTGGTTATTTAGATGAAAGAGGCTCATGGCTCAACTTTAAAAAATTACAGGGATTATTTGAATGCATTCTAATTCGAGGGGATTTTTGTCATTTTTATATTTATTTTTGTGATTGCAGATGTGAAGCTCCAAAATTTTATTTATAACTAGAATTTTCACCTTCCAACAAATGTACAGCTCAACACATGGTAACTGCCTTGGTTATGGCCACATAAATTAATATTTGTGCATGTGTATGCATGTGTGTCCATGAATATATGTCTATGAAATTTTAGTCTGAAATGAGGTCACTTGTCTATTGAAAATTAACATCTTGTGAAAAAAGGACTCAAATGCCAGGGAAGACAATGACTTTTTATTAACTCTTCATGGTCAGATTTGACTATTTCTTTTTATATATATATATATAATTTTTTTTTTATTGAAGTATAGTCAGTTTACAATGTTGTGTCAATTTCTGGGGTACAGCATATTGCTTCAGTCATACATGAACATACATATACTCATTTTCAAATTCTTTTTTACTGTAAGTTACTACAAGATATCAAATATAGTCCCCTGGGCTATGCAGTATGAACTTGTTGTTTATTTATTCCATATATATCAGTTAGTATCTGCAAATCTCTAACTCCCAATTTATCCCCTCCCACCCCTCTGCCCCACTGGTAACCACAAGTTTGTTCTCTATGTTTGAGAGTTGTTTCTGTTTTGCAAATAAGTTCCAATCAGAGTGGCCATCATTCAGAAATCCACAAACGATAAATGCTGGAAAGATGTGTAGAAAAGGGAACCCTCGTACACTGTTGATGGAAATGTGCTTTGGTGCAGCTGTTATGGAAAACAGTATGGAGAGTCCTCAAAAAACTAAAAATAGACTTACCATATGATCCAACAATCCCAACAGAGAGAACTTGAATTCAAAGAGACATATACACCCCAATGTTCATAGCAGCACTATTTACAATAGCTGAGACATGGAAGCAATCTAATGTCCATCGATAGATGACTGGATAAAGAAGTTGTGGTATATTTATACAATGGAATACTACTCAACCACAAAAAATAAAATAATGCCATTTGCAGAAACATAGATGGACCTGGAGATTGTCATCGTAAGCGAAATAAGCCAGAAAGAGAAAGAAAATACCATATGATATCACTTATATGTGGAATCTCAATAAAAGGACAAGCAATTTTATGTTTTTTAAATTTCCCCTAAATCTTTGTCTGGTTTCAAATTTCCCCTGGAGTTTACCATGGGAAATTCGGATCCAAGATGTTTCTATTGTATGTAATCTTGGAATCAAAAGCTTTTTAAGACTTATTTCTACAGAGCCCTCTCTTCCTAAGTACTGCCTGTCTCACTGATTGACCTGGCATCTGCCTAGGCAACTGCTGTCTCTAGTTGGAAAAGGTTACACTTGCTGCCAAGAACTCATGAACGTTCCCATAAGGTCTTCATTTTCACTTTTAGGCCAACTAAAGATATGTATGTGGATACCTGATTATTCTATAGCACACCCACAAAAAAGATTATAACTCAGTTACTAAATATTTTAACAATGTAGCACGCAAGTTCTTTTATAATGGAATTTGAATTTTCCATTTCGTGCCTAAGGTACCATAAAAAGAATCATAGTGTCTGATTCTCGAGACTCTGACTAGGTTTATGAAGATGGTCTGTGGCAGGACCCACTTCATGGTCATGCAACCTACCTGGTCACATCGGGCCCCGCACTGGGCTTGCTAATCCTCTGCTGGCACCAACTTAAAATTCTTAATAATTTTTGAACAAAGAGCTTAGCATTCTCATTTTGCACCAGGCCCTGCAAATTATGTAGTTGGTTCTGGGCTCAGTATTTGACTGCTTCTATTCGGTTGGAACAATTATTCCTGGTACAAGTTGACTTTCCAGAAGTGAAACCTTTTGGGAGCAATGTTTCCCAATGGACTTGGCTCTTGATTTCAAGAATCCAATACTACATTAACAAAGAAGTCCCTAGGATTTGGGATTTATACCAATATTTTATAATTGACTTTGCCTTTTACAGTAAAGATAAAGTTTGTGCATCTTTGTATCATTCAAAAGTACCACATTTGTAGAAACACTTGATTTTATACACTCTCAATCTATGTAAACCATATTTCTCATCTTCTACACATTTAAGAGTTGCGATTAAGTGCAACTCAGATCTTAACATATAGCAATGTAATCAGTGTTTCAAAAAAGATAACAGAAAAATTTTTCATGTGGTTTAAGTAAATCTCTTTGATTCAGATTTTAAATACATTGTGAAAACTGAGATTAAATTTGGATCCTATACGTTTATGTATTCTTGGATTACTTTAAGTGGGACATTATATTTGAAAGGTGAAAAAGGCTGAAGTGTTGAAAATTACATCTTTTCTTTTGCCTGCATACAGAGAGCTAGTATACAATTGTTAGCTATTGAGATCAATAATAAGGTTCTATTTTCTTTCAACTGGTTCCTGAGATACGTTTGTTTCTTGGGAAATATGTGGTATAAGTCAATATCACCAATACAGTGCAAGCCCAGAGTGGCTTTGAGTTTCCAGTATTCTAAAGCATTCTAAGGGATTGACACAAATTAGTTTCGATGGATTTATATATTTTTTTTTGTTTCAGTAAATAGTGATTGATGTGAAAGAGCAGTCAAGACAATGTCAGTTATTTAAAATGACTGCATTTATTCCCAGATCCTTCCAGTGAAACACACTACAACATGTAAAAGAAGGGAACTATAAGTAATGCTTTAACATAATGTACTATGTGGTGCTTTCAAGAGTCACTGCTTTATTTGACCCCAATAAGATGCTTATTTGCCTTTTGTTTGTTTTTACATAAAATTTTTAACTTCTTGAAGCTCTAATTTCTATTCTCTATCAACTGCATGTTAGTTTCTCCCATACGTGACAATATTTCATTTGTGTTCTTTCTCATTCTTTTTTTTCCTTTTTCCGCTGCTTCCAGTGAATTTCACCCTTTTAGCTAATTCATTTCCTGACAACTTTCCACACTCCCAAATTAATAATTCGTGCTCTCCCAGAAGGGAGATAAAAGGCAGATGTTTTTCATCCTTAGACCACAATTCCCTTCGTTTTCTGTTTAGGAGCTTCCTATTAGCGGGCACTTACAGTTGGTGTCAAACATTCCAAACAGCAACATCCCTACATTAAGCAGAATTTCATTATCTTATTCTGTGTGATCTCTAACTGACCTTTCTGACATGCTCACTCTTGAAAAAGCGTTCCTTCTTTGAGTCATAAAGCCTTTCGAGAATCTGATGCAAGTAGGTCTTCCTCCTCACTTACAAGTACTACATTCAATTTCAGGAGGTTCACAGGCCCCTGAGGCCTCTTCATGAACCAAGTATTACGAACACCTGCTTTCATTTATCAATTTCTCTATTTTACAGGTATTGCACTGTGCATAGTTTTTCTAGAATTATTCCCTTTTTGCCACCACCCTTCACTCTCCACTCCACCACCTTATTTTTTGCATCCTTGTTTTAGGAACGCCCCTTTCAGCCAGTGATGTTTCTGTTCAAAATGTCTGAATCTGTCTGAAGCATCCCAGTGATGCAACCACTGTGTAAAAACATTGCCTCTTTCATTTTCAAGTTCCATTTTTGTTATGTTACCCAAAAGTCCTTTAATTCCAAGCATACTTTTGTCCTATTGACTTACTGAAACGAAACAGATAAACCCCCATTCATCCAAGATGAGGTTGAGTACCTTGCATATGCTGATTGAGTATCTTGTATATTACCTTGCATCATAAAGTGTGTAAAACTCAACCTGAAAGTGTTTACCTTTCATAATTATATTAATGCTAATGATAATATTGATATTGTTAATAACTAATGTTAACTGAATATATTTTTCCGAGAACTATGCAAATCCTGTTTTTATTACCTTTCATCCTTTTTTTTCTTTTTTCTTCACTTTCCTTCTCCTCTTCCTTGTCTTTTCTTAGCAGATAAGATAAAATAAGTTAAAAGAGGTTAGATAAAACTTACTCAAGGTCACTACTAGAAAACGAATGGAAAATGGCTTCAAATACGGATGCCAGGGACTTCAGAGGCACTTCTGATGCTTTCACGTATCTTGGACACTCTCTACCTCTCATTGACAATAGTAGTAGAAATATCTTAGGTTGTATGAATGTACCCAGCCATCCGTCCATCTGGCAGACACATATAATTCATACAGGGTAGAAGACAGAAAATTCATAAGAAGTTTTGTGGGAATTAGGGGAAGCCAGGAACTACGTGCACTTTTCTTCATGGCAGAATGGCATTTGAAACATCTCATGAGTGATGCCTGAGACTAAAGAGGAAATTGCAGGGAGCAGCTGTGAAGGCTGAGGGCCCTGCAGAAGTGTAGGCACCAGGAACGACTGGCAGTTCAACTTGGCTAGAGTAGAACATGTGGAAAGCAGAATTAGGAGAGAAAATAAATGTTGGAAAGGGTTCTAGGCCAGATACCAGAGAACTTGGAATTCCAGGAAGAGGGGTATGAACTTATTTTAGCAGGAGTGAATGATGGGAGGTTTGAAACAGAAAAAGGTCATGATCAGAACTGTGTTTTTAGAAGATGGCTCTGGCTGACTGCGAGCAGAAGACTCGCAAACATGGAGATGGAGATAATGTATTCATTCTTTTGGCCACACTGATTAAATTAAGACATAAAGGGTGACCTTCTCTCTGGGGAGAGGCCCTGTTAGTGGGAGAATTATATAACAAGCCCTAAGTGAAACCTGAAACTATTAACTGCTCAGTGAGCTTTAGTCTTTTGTCTAATGGTAGTTCACACACTCATCTCTGTTCATTCTTTTTCTTTCTCCTTTGTTTTAATTTTCCCCTGAAATAACTGCATTCTCAGGGCTTTTTTTTAATAGGATTTTCTTCTACTGTGGTATTTTTGATGCCCTGTCTCTTCCACGTACTTGACTACCCACTGCTTTGCTTCTGTTATGGCCCTAGGTTTCAGGCTGTTGAGTCACAACTTAACTTCTCTTGGAAACAATAATATGCTGATTCATTGATCCTTACTCCTTTTATCTGCTGAGCTCTGCCTGAGATCAGCCCACCTTCTACCATGTATTTTCACCATCATATTCCATGTCTCCTCTTTGTGTTTCTGATTTCTTTATGAACTGATGCACAACATAGGTGCCCTGTCCTCTGTGTGAGCCTTCACGTTTAAGGGCTGGAATCTTGTGACAAAGACTATGTGGGTAGGTGCCGGAGTTTGAGCCCACTGATGACTGTGCTGGGATAAAGGTCGTACCTGTGCTGGCCAGAGACAGGAAGAGCTGATGGATCCAAAAGCAGGATGCTCAGATTCTGTCAGGAATCAGGCAGATCTGGAACAGAGAGCAAACAGGACCTTGAGGATTTTTAGTGAGTATGTGTGCATTGGTAGTGGTAAAGAAAAAAAACAATAAAAAATTTAGATGAGGATAACTACAACAAAAAAGCATAAATAGATGCTGAGTGGCTTCCCAGGAGAGCTGGAACTTATGTAGCTCTTCTTATTTGTTGATGGTTCAGACCTGCTTAAAGCTAAGTGTTGGGATCAACAGCCTCATTCCTGCTGCTGTATTTTCCCATCTCTTTCTTCTTTTGTTGGACTCAGGCACACTGCTCATCATTTGGATAAAACACCACATTCGCGTTATGAAGATCTTATCACGCATTCAGATGTTTCAGAGGAATACATCTCCTTGGCAGATCCAGAAGAAAAAATTGTGTCTCCTCTAATCTAGATTTTCTGTGGCTAATTGTAACATAGATAGCTCCATGGTTTCTGGAAGAGTATGTTGTTACCTTTCTGATCAAACCTGAATTTTCATGGAAAGCATTATTACAGCATTGTCATTCATTATTCCTTCTTGCTGATTCTTTTCCTTTCAAATTGCTTTTTGGCTGATACAGTGTACCACTTGGACAACTGCCTGGAAATCTCTCTCCTTCATGCAGTGAGCATCCATTGAAGGGTTTCAAAGAATGAACTGCCATGAAATTGCACTTTGTCATAAGTGGACACAATTCTGTAAGATGGTTCATGCCTTACTTGTTCACTCTGTCCCCATATCTTAATTCTCACGTCAAGTAGGAAGGAAAAAGGCAGATATGCTAGGAAGAACTTGAAGTCTCAATGGTAGGAAACAGGTGGAAATGGAAATCATGATGGTTTCTCAGACTTTATCAGCTCCTTTATCAGAAAGTATAAGAAATGTTCAGAAACTGGATGACTCACCCATTTTCCTTGTAAATGAGTCAATAAACTTGTCAAGTACATCAAATGAGTGATCAATTACCTGCACCTCATTGACTAAAAGCATTCAGGAAAAAGGCAGACAACTTCTTCCTCCAAGCACACTCTTCTCTAGCCTACTTTTCTTTAGGAAAGCATTCTTAATAATTCAGCAGCCTGAGCATGACATTAACCAAAATATTTGGGGCCTCACTGGATGAGGCCATGAGGTTTACGTGTCAGAAAGGATAAGGTTGGGGGGGGCCGCTGTCTGCCACCTTTTATATCCGAACAAAAGCCACATTCTTGGTGGTCACAGGTCTGCCTAGGCCTAAAGGTATTGAGTGGGAAGTTGAGGATTGCAGTTTATATAGAGTGTCCACATATTTCCATTTTTGTGAGGTCACAGTTACAATAGGATAATATTTATGTGTTCTGATGGCATAGATCATTTATCCTGTAAATACTTTTTTAATAATCTAAAAAAATACTCATTGAAAATATAAGTTCCTTTTTATGTAGTTTAGAGAATGGAAAAATTTACTGTTATTAACAATCATCAATCATTATTATTATTAGAAACAGTCAAACTTCATGGGAAACACAAGTGTTGTGACTTTGTAACTACCTCCAAGTAACTAATAAATCATATATTTTAAACTCAAATAATTTGAGCTCAGTTACTTCCAAACTCCCCTAAATTAAGATTTTATTTAGTCGAATTCTTTGATTTTGTTGACTGTCAAATATCAGCTTGCTATTCAACATAGATTGAGAAGATTTTTAAATTAAATTGATTAATTCAAAGGATATGTAAAAAAATTGATTATATAATGATTGGTAAAGACCATTATGTGAAGGAACTAACAACTCTATTTCTGAATAGTATATTTTTTAATTTACTTCAACTCCACAGTATTCCTGACTGATAATAACTTAAGAACAACATAATTGACGTTTACAGATCTGATCACATTTTTAATGAATAATTCCACGTAAGAAAAATTCTCACAGATAGTATGTCACTGATACTTTTGAATATTTTCAATTAGTAGAAGACATTCTGTTCCTTCTACTTCTTCTTCATTTTCTTCTTCTTCTTCTTCTTACCGTTATTCCTATCATTAGTTATTATAATCTAATTATTTTCATGTTGTACATGCCAAATAATTAAACTTCTTAGTAATCGTGTTTCTTATAATACACCTCAAAAGTTTTAATGACTGCAATGTCCCTATATATTTTTCCTAACCTTTCCTAAGTGCATAATTTTCTCAGCTAATTGAATGAAATGATTGCTCGGAATTATTTCCTTTGAGTTATAAGTTAGATAAAAGTGGCCCGATAAAATTTTCATGAACTCTTCTTTCATTTTGAAAAGGCTGTTCGCTGTTTTGTGTCATTTTAGACGCTGTGATTATATACAAACTCTTCGGGTTTGGAATTTTCGCCTTTACTGAATGTATTTGATGGGGACCTCCACGGGTAATTTGGCTTTTTATTTGCTTGTTGTGTCGGTTATTTTTCCATACAAGTCCTGAGCAGTGCCAGGGACGTCCTTTCACAAAGAAAACTGTCAGCAGTCAAGGTGGACTGTGTGCATCCCTCCCTCTCCCTGCTTTTCTGCCCCCTGCGCTGGCCCCCACACCTTGGACTCTGGGAAGGGGTCAGAAGGCTGCACATTACTGTGTTTAATTTATTCCAGTCCACCTAGTCAGTTGAAATATTTCCTTAAGGAAGTTTTCCTTCAGTTGATGCCCCGAAGGGTTAAGAAAACAGAAACCCATAGTATTAAAGACTAGTTACCGATGTTTCCAAGGAAACCATACCAGGAATGTTTAAGTGTCTTGTTTCTCCCCAAACCCACAGGAGTGGAGCTTGTTTGAGGTTTTGATGTCCTCTTAATCCTTGCCATAGCTGCTCTGTGGTAGGTTTTCCAGCAGAGCTGGAGTCCGACGGTTGCCAAAAGTGCTGGTTCACAAGCCCACCGGTCATTAGCTGAGTTCAGTTTTGTGTCTTTCTTCTGAGGACGTTATGGGCAATTCAACATCAAATAGAGGGCAATTTTTTTTAAGTTTCTTTAATTTTTTTAAAATGCCTAATATGCATCATTTTTTTCCCAACATGCACATTAGCAGACCATCTGAATCTTTCATCAAAAATTAATAATACATGAATTTGAGTTGCAGAGACCATTAGGAGACTGACTGAATGCATGTGATAGATCAGATCGTGCTGTTTTATGAGGTGTTTTAAGGGGCATGGGAGATGGGAGGGACTTACAGTTCTGTGATTTCTTCTGCTTTAAGTGGCTATAAACAATTTTTAAGGTCACTACTTTTTTTTTTGAAA